AGATATAATCCTGGCGCTGACCAAATCGTATGTAACGTAAAACACAAAGCACGTTAGCAGCCAATTGAAACTTCCTCTTAAAAGTTACAAAAAGCTTAAGCGTAGTACTTGTGCAATCAATAAAAATAAGATATCAATAGACTGATCCCTGATGATAGAATCGTTGACTTATAAGTACGGTACCATAGTAACTACGATAGTCACAGATTAAATTGAATAAAAAGTTATGAGAAGAGAATCATATTAAGTCATTGGAAAGGGGGGAGGGGAGAGGCTCAGAAAAGAGGAAGACAGGAAGCGATAAAGCTATGATATTATAATAAATAGAATGCATCGTAAATTACTATAATATTATGTTTATTACACCTAGGATGTCAATTGATACACATTATACAAACAAACAGGCACAAGTGTTTGCAAGCAAGTCCGTCAGGTTTTTGAAAATTGGGACATTATGCTTATTGAACACATGTTTTGAGAGCCATTAGGGCAAAAATGTGTTCACTATAAAACAATAATTTCTTGTAACAAGTTTTGCAAGGAGAAATTGTCTTTAATGAGCTTTGACGTAGGACATAATAGTCTGGAAGATTTGAGAAATCGCAAGGAAATAAAAGCAAAAGAAACACAATCAAATGCAGTTGATAGAGAAAATCATCGCATCTAAAATACTCAAAATGTACATTAATGTACGAATGGGAAAGTTTTTAAATTTTCATTGAAAACGCGAACTGTTTCCTCTAGCGGAGGCTCGATTTGCAGTGTGCACACATCGTCCGCGGAATGATCGCGATGGCCGCACCATTTGAAAACAACTCTATTTGGGAAGAAATGTGAAAGGAAACTGATACAAATAAGTAAATAACTTTATCTACGATCTATAATTGTTGCATTAGAGCTTTTCTACCCAGTAGACTAAACAAGCAAACAAACAAACTCCGTGTGTATACTGACAGAAGTTGAATGAAAGAACGTTCAATTTTATCAAGTGCATAGATAGAGATCTATGTAGGCCTACTGTATATAAATGTTAACATGACATAAAATGCCGTATGGCGTTCTAGCCTAGTGGTAAAGGCAACAGACTTGTTTGACTAGATGTAAAACTTTTAAACCAGGGTTCAAACCTGTGTGTCTCCCTTTTTTTTTTTAGCGGTATTTTTTGGGGGGTGTTTAAAAAAAAAATTTTTTTTGGCTGTATTTTTCCTTTTCTTCGGGGG